GCATATGTCCCTCACTAATCTAATTTACTGTAGGCTTCCGATCGAATAACTGATGGCGTTCGAAGGCGTTTTCGTCTCGGCTTGCCTTCAGTCTCGGCATCCTTTGATCGCCGTTTTCGGTAACTCGTAATCATACTGCCATTTCGGGCGACTCGTGTAGTGTCAATGGGCAAGAGTCTGGGGGTTTTTGGAGCTCGAGAGTATATCCTGAGATCTGATCCAAACGAAAGTCGGTTGTGGTCTTGGAATTTATTGGGTTGTCTCGTGGATAATTTCGAATATGTATGATTATTAAATGTGCTGCCGAGTATAGATGCACAAGTAGAAGAAATTACATCACATCAAAACATACATAGGAAATGATGAATTGTGAAAAAATTAGTCAAAATGTGTGAACCGAGAACAAACAAGCCCACATACTCAAAACCTCATCTAGAAGAACAGAAAATTGGGTTTGTTCATGATGGCCCATCAGAGTATACGGTCAAGAAGAACATTCATACCCTAGCCAATCTTACCTTCTGGATGCTGTCGTCCACAACGCAAAGAGTCCACGAAATGAGCACAAATGGGAGACATAAGCCGCCAGTACTTCGACCTCTCCTAAGATCCATTTAGTTTTCATTTGTCTAAGCACAAAGCCCGGTAGAAAGGCGGGCTGCAAGAAGTTTTCATGCGGATTTGCCTAAAGGCATCCCAAGGATGATGAAACCACAATTTAGACTGAGGATATCACTATGGTTGTTGAAATTTATCCACTGCTTTGGAAAAACCGTCACTTCTTCATCAATGTCCAGAAGTTTGTTACTAAGTGATCATAGAAAGTCATCGGCACCTTGAAATACCCCCTCGAAGCATGTTCTCAATCCAGTCACTGCTGCACTCGATGCTCTATCCTTTCGGTCTCGAAGTATTTTGGGTTGAATCCAAAAAATATCAGCTGGCTTCTGCGACGTTGTGGTCTTGGCTTTGCTTTAGCAATGATTCAAAGACTCGCACTACCCGTACTGCATGCCAAAGTTCGCAATGTTTGGATTTCGCTTGCGACCCAATACACCTAAGAAAATTCACATATACTTAAAAGTCTTGATTTTACCGTGATCTTGGTCGACCTCATATGTTTGCTACCTTCCTCGCGGTCAAATAGATCCATCATGGGTATACCGTCCACACGCCAACACTACGTTGACCGGAGGCGTCTTTACTTCCACGAGTTCCGTATCGGCTCTGGATTCTTCGATTCGACAACACTAACAATGTCGGAGGATATTAGAGAAATTATAAATGCTTTCCCCTCCTGTTGATGTCTCTTCTTATTGCGTTTCCCCCCTGCCTCACATCTTCTGGTGTTTAATGTTCTTGATATCAAGATGGTTGAAGATGTATTATCATGTACTTTTGAGAGATTGAATAATAGGTTATGCAAAATATTGGCTGGACACTGCAGTGGAGTCGTTTCTACAAATACTTCACAGATACCTATTGAACGTTCGGAATAATTCCCCCCCTTTTACCGATATCAATGATCAGCCAGAAATGGCAACTACATCCATATAGTTTCCGAGATTCTTCCGGTCCATAATTCTGGGGATTGGTGAGTAATGAGGATTTACACTGGAGAAATCAACAGTTAAACCTCGATTTGATATTAGATTTTGAATTGGGCATACGGGTTTTCGACGTTTCTGACAGTCGTGAGATAGGTCATATCAGAGCTTTCAACTCTACTAAACCTACCGTGGTTGAATCGACTATTGTAATACATACTTTCCACTTATCCATATCTTCCAACGTTCATGTATCAATGAGATAGCGTTCCACTACTACAGACACTAACGATAATCTTGACCAAGTGGAGTGAATGACTGGTTGTTGCTCGCCGATGTGCAAGCTTTATCTACTCCACCAGAGCTGTTCTGGATCAACTTAAGTTTCTGATACGTTATGAACTCGATATCTTAGATAGCCTCTTTCTCTATTGATAAGCAGAAGCTGAATGTGATCTCAGTGCTTTTAACACATATTCTAGTTCATTTAATAGAAAAAAAGAAATGCTTATTATATAAAGCACGGAGGGAGTTGATTAATGGAAGCTGGAGGTACGTGGACACGCACCAACTTCGGCTTGATTTCAAGAGGCTGGAGTGTGGCTGAAATGACCAAGGTGGCTAGTAATTATTGATGTAAGCGAGTTCGGGTGAGAAATTGGAGAAACTGGTGATGATGTAGTTGCGGCTAGAGCTTCCCTCGGCTTTCTTATGACAAAATTTGCTTCTGTTCTCTTCTGCTGGGAATACTACAAAAAACCAGTCGATTCATTCATTCATTGACTTTAAAGGCGATGTTATAATTCAATGATATTGATTCGAAGACTCAATTTCATTTATTCGTTTCCATTATTCTTGATGTCAAGTTGCCTACCTAACCTCCATCCTCCAAATACCAGTTCGTTCTAGACCTTGGCTCATAACCTGAGCACGCGACCTCCTATAAGACCCCTCAACCAACAAGATTGATAAGAATCAAACCACTATTGTGTTATCCTCGAATACATCAACACGATAGCCATCTGAGACATCAATCATCATGAAAAGGGCGAGATTTCCCAGCGGGATGGAGCGTCGAAAGTCCTCCACTCCTCACTACCACACCTTCCCCACCCCACCACCCAAGTCTCGCGGCAGACCTCAAGTCGCATCAACTTTATCATCTGGTGGCGATGGATCTGCGAATTCGAATTCGAATGAAGGGGAGCCGGAAGATGAACAACATCAATCTCCTCTTCCAATAAAACAACTCGCTGTATTGGCAGTCATCGCGCTCACCGAACAAACCGCCTTGAATTCGATATCGCCATACCTACCCCAAATGACGTCGAAATTTCCAGAAGTCGATCCAAGTCAAATAGGTTTATACGTCGGAACAATAGCGTCGAGTTTTGCGTTCGCGCAATTTACAACGAATTTTTTCTGGGGCTGGTTATCTGATAGGATAGGGAGGAAGCCGGTGGTAATGCTTGGGACTCTTTTGACATCAGCATGCTTTGTTGCTTTTGGATTCTGCAGGACATTATGGCAGGCAGTATTGGTACAAGCGCTCATGGGTATGGTCAACGGAAATCAGGGTGTAATCAGTACATGTTTGGGAGAGATTACGGATCGCAGTAATCAGAGTAAGGCATTTGTCTATCTGCCAGTCATTTATGGAATTGGTGGCATAACAGGACCGGCCTTGGGTGGATTGTTAATCTTCGAAGAGAATCCGTTCAACAAGGGGCATCCAAATCCTTATCCATATTTACTGCCGAATTTGTTTGCGGCATCAATATTATTACTCGACTTGGTATTGACGGGATTTTTCCTGGAAGAAAGTCTAGAAGAGGCAAAAAATCTCCCTCCTTTGAAGCATCGAATGAAGAGCCTCTTTACGTGGATGTGGCAATTCACAGGAGGAGCTCGACATCCAACCTATACACGGACTCCCTCTCAGCGTGCACTGCTTCATGACTCTGATGCATCGGACGACGACGATTCTGAAGCTGAATCACTCCTCTCAATGGGCGACTTCTTCCATTCATCGAACGAAGCTCACTTGTCCTACAAGGAAGTCCTAAACCGCGATACTGTAATACTTCTTGGTACTTATCTTATCTTTCAACTCTCCAATATTTCCTTCAAACTCTCTCTATCTATCTTCGCATCGGCTCCCGAGCGTGCTGGACGAGCGCTCTCTCCTTCCGAAATCGGTCTTTCACTCTCTTTTGCAGGAATAGTTACAATTGTCTTCCAGATCGGCATTTTTGGTAAACTCAAAGAAAAGATGGGAAATAAAGCAACTTATAGATCAGGATTGTTCCTCTTCTTCATTTCCATGATGCTCATGCCATGGATTGGATACAAAGATTCTCCTCCACCTTTCGGCATCGGAAATGGAAAATTATGGCTATGGGTTGAGCTTGGGTTCGTCTTGTTATTGAAAACAGTAGCTGCAGTGGGAGGGACTAACAGTGCTCTGTTACTCATTACAAATTCTGCGCCTAATCATGGTGTTCTTGGCACATTGAATGGCCTAGCACAAACCCTAAGTGCAGCGGGGAGAGCAGCGGGCCCCTTCTTGAGTGGTGGGTTATTTACTTTGGGAACAAAGATTAAGAATGGGGGATTCCTCACCTGGGGTGTTTTTAGTGGGATTGCTTTGGTAGGGTTCGTGTTCAGCTGGGGAATCCGGGGAAAAGATTTGGAGAGCGAAGACTGGAGTGATGATAGTAGTGATGATGAGAGCGACAGTGGAAGTGGTGGGGATTTAGAGGCCGGGCAATCATCGTGATGATCTTGAGAGGTTGATAGATCAGTTTCTCGGTATTATATTGTAACAAATACTTTATATTTTTGAGTTGTTCGTGTTGATGGGGATAGGATGTACGTTTTTCATTTTGGTATAGGGCAATCATTGGGCGGTAAAGGAGTTTGGGCGCATAGAGAGAAAAAGGAAGGATAGCGAGATTAGACTTTTACATGGAGAGGTAGAACATACATGAGTAGCATGCGTATACATATTGTGGATTTAGAAGCTTTTGTAGCTAATACCATTTATCTCGACAAGCATTTCCATGATCATATTATCACCAGTGTATCAACTTGGAAGTTTCGTGCACGTGCCAATTTATCCAATATCAAAAACATCCACCTTACATTCTTTTACATCCAACCATCTCCACAAAACGTGATATTGAAATTGACTCGAATTCCACCAAATACCATGTAGGTTTTCTTAGAATCCTGTTTCATCAGTCTTTCTTCGCCCTCCTCATCTCTATTCTTATTTTTCTTCTTTCTATAGCTCTCCTCTATCTCCATCCAAAATGGTGGGGGAACGGGCTCGAGCGAGTGCGTTTCAGACGGATTCCAATCAATGCGCTATCAATATCAAGTCTCCCCTCGAACTTCTCCATGCTACCAACTCCAGTGCTCAAAATATCTCTTTCAAGACCTATTTCTACAATGTCTTTTTTCCTGAATCATTTAAAATCACACACCATAGTTACCTTACCCGTTCCTGAGAAGAAATTTACAGGGAAAACTATTATCGTTACTGGGAGTAATAGTGGATTGGGATTGGAGGCGGCGAGGTGGTTGTATGTATTTGTTTTTAACCTCTATAAAGACTGGTATGTATGTGGATTGTATGAATATTAACAAAATAAAAGGTCCGTCTCGATGCTCAAAAAGTCATCCTAGCCGTGCGCTCCTCCTCAAAAGGTGAAGCTGCACGCCAATCCATCATAGACAGTACCTCCTGTTCTCCAGACATCCTCGAAGTATGGAATCTCGATCTGTGTTCTCAATCTTCTGTTAAAGAATTCGCGCATCGAGCAAATGCGCTCCCGAGACTTGATATCTTGGTCTCGAACGCTGGAATCTATGTTTTTGATTTTAAAATCGCAGAGGGTAATGAAGAGACTATTTGTGTAAATGTAGTTAATACTTTCTTGTTGGCGTTGCTTTTGTTGCCAAAATTGAGGGAGACGAGTATAGAATTTGATACGAGAGGGGTAATGACGTTCACGGGAAGTTTCGTACATCAACTGACTACGTTCCCGGAACGGCGAGCAGGGAATGTGTTTGAAGAGTTGAGGGTGGAAAGAAAGAGCTGATATGAGAGATCGATATAATGTGAAGTAAAACTGATCTCTCTTGCTATTTTTCCCGAGAAACTCGCGTTGCTCTTCGCGAATCGGAGACGCAGGGGAGGAGTGAGGCATTGTGGTTGTGAACATTGTTAATCCAGGGTTGGTGGATACGGAGATTATGAGGCATGCGACAGGAGCTACGAAGCATTTGGTTAGGGGGGCGATGAAATTGATGGCGAGGAGTGTAGAGGAGGGGAGCAGGACGTTGGTGCATGCTGCTGGAGGGGGGGAGGAAACAAATGGGATGTATTTGGATGATTGTAAAATTGGGAAGTTAGTACCCCCTTCAGGTGTTTTTGTTTTGTTGTGAAGTTTGAGGATTAACGAGAAATCAGGGTATCATCTTGGACAACATCACTCGATGGGATAGCGACCCAGAAGGATATTTGGATGGAGTTATCGCAGGAGTTGGAGAAGATAGAACCGGGGATTATGGGAAATATATGAATGGGGATTAGAGTTGAAATTTGTACTAGTTTTTACTCTTGTCTTTCGTACCAATGCGTTGAGATTTTGGGCATTAGATGACCTTGCCTGGCGAGGTTGCCTCTTCTTTAACGAAGCGAGTTTGATATTTCGCGAGCTTTTCTCAGATATGAAACAAAACTCCTGAAGAGCGATTTGATTGGTCATGAGAATCAGGACGATAGTGAGAAGGTTCCGCCCGCTCATCAATGATGTTATTCTCAAGTTCACAAACTTAAAAGTGGGGCATAGCAAATGGAAAACAGATGGCTGTACCTCCTCCAACATTAGATATCACCAGACCAAGATCATTTCGAAACTTTCCTGATGGGTTGAATTCGCTTGGAAATAATGAAAGTCGCTGGTTCGTTATATACAAAGATTCTCTCGTACGCCACACCTAGTTACAAACCTGTGTTTCCGTCCTGGGTATTTCCATTCATTCAATCATACGAAGAGCCATCGGGTTCGCCCTCAAAGCCAATTTCACATCATCGTCCAGCCCAAGACTATCATCCCGCTCTTTCCCAACACAAATACAAAAGTCCAACAGGGCGAAATCTCTATACTCCCTCTTTTCCTCTCAAACCCTTGAATCTCTGGGCTCGTAGTCCCCCACTTCATACTCGTCGATCCCGTCGCCGGCATCTCCTTCGGCTGTAAAAGAGAACCCTCCATCTCAAGCGTCTCATGATGCCCACCCAATCCCATTTCCCCCGGCAAATCCTCCGCCATCAATTCCGTCGTCTCGTGATATCTACCTTGGGGCAACTCTGCAATCCCAAGATGTGTATCATTTGGTTTTCGTTCTGGTTTCTTTGGAGGTCTAAAGAAATAGCCTTGTCGTCTATATCTTCGCAAAAGTAGTCCGCAGGGTATGCATACGACGGCTGTTACTACTAGAATTACTATTCGATAGATGTGGGTAGATGAAGCCGAGGGTGTTGTAGTTGTATTTATATTTGTACTTGCAGACGACCTGGTAGGTATACTAGTTGCAGTACCGGTAGGCGTTGCGATTTTCATCAATTTCGTTGTTGATCCATAGTTTATTTCAATGACTGTTGGAGATGCATCATCATCTTGTGCTGTTTCAATCTTCAGTCAGTGACAGACTTCCACAATATTTTTCAGATCATGAAGAACAAAGCAACTTACCAAAAACGCGAGAAAATAGCCATATCAGCCCCAGTAAACGTGATATCATATTCTCGAAATGAAGGAGAGCTTTAAATCAATCCAAGAACAATAAAAGAGGCGGAAAAGCTTAAGTTCATGAACTGAGGGGTGCAGTGCTACTAGGGTGCCTTGCTGCGCCTTGCCGTGCCGTAGGTACATATTTCTGTAGCATTTTCTGCAGCTCTTGTTTCAAACATTGCGATAAGTGATGCTGACAGGAGAAATCAATTGGAGAATCGAATAGCTGCAATGCCTAGACCTGCCAATCATCGAAGCAGCAATTTTACCAACTGTTGGTGTCAATATTCCGCGCCAGGTTGGGGTTGCTGAATTGGAAAGCATTTGAACGGCCATGTAGGTGGCCAAGTTGATTTCAAGATTTCTTTCCTGCTTTGCTGCTTTGCTGCTCTCAAATTTTTCATTCGCTCGGCGCTTGATGCGATGGCTTTGTTAGTTGCATATATCGTCTTCCTCGCCTCCAATTCGCGAAATACTTGTCAGCCTAGCTCATGCGCGCCGTTCCACGGACTTGGCATAATTAATTTAATCCTTGACGTCTGTTGTTCCAATAATTGGTGATATAGCGGTCTTTAATGGATGTATACTCATTGTCCCTTTGGCCGATTGAAGCGACGGGAGCGAAATGTTATAAGAGTTATGGGTTAGCTAATCGGAGTCTGGGTACAATTCAGAAATAATTTGTACACGCTTGGTGGAGTATTTGATGACTCAGAGCAATCTGGGTGTTCCATGTTCGAGGGAAAAATCACTAAAGAGAGCGATATGATTATACGTATTTGAAAATCTTCCAAGCGACAAGCAGCTCGAGGGGCATAGGTCGATTTGATATATTGCTAAACAAAGTTTGTCATGGATCTCGAGACGGATAGAATTGGTAATGAAGTTAAGTAACAAATTGATGGCTGTGGCAAAGACATACACACTTTGCTATGACACAGGATCGAAAAAGACGGTTGTTTTAATCCATGGCAGATATCAAGATTTTAATCTTTTCATGGCTGGAAACATTGGGAATAATATCGTAGTAATAATCATGCTACCATGGATGCTTAGGGCTGCTAGAATTCCAGCCAGAAGATTTGAGCTCATATTGACGATTTTGTTAAACAATGTAATCAGATGCTTTTGAAACCTTTGCATCCCATCAAGTGAAGCCGTGGTTTCAAGATATTTGGAGACGATTCTTACTGAACCCACAATTCTCACTTGAGAGGATATGATGATTGCTTCTACCGTGGCGCTTATTGCCCACGCTGAACTAAAGGTACAATGATGTTTTTCTTGTCCTAGAGCTCAATGTTCTGTTAAAAGTAAAATCCGGAGCCAAGAATATTGGAGGCGGCGTGATCCATAAATAGCCTGCCATCTAACAAAATAAGAACTGTGAAAAGTATCCCATAGATATTGAACACTACGAGCAAACAAAAAAACAAGCAAGATGAGACGTTGTAAGAAAAATGGTACGCGTTTATCTTATTGAAAAGACCTTGAGGCTTTTTGAATACTTTTGTCGGGCAACGCCGTCTCTTTGCATCACTCAGCTCGAGCTAGACGCATTATCACAGGACTAGAAAAACGCAATCTGAGGTCTTATTTAGGATGCAGTACAAAGGCTATGCCTGTCAAAGAAAATTTAGTCAAACTTATGACATAAATTGGCTTTTTAACTCCTGTTTTATGTTCTTTGGTTAGCCTTTTTTGAAGTTAACAGGTCGGCACTCACTGAATGCATTCGATTTGGAGGTATGTATTAAGGGATATTCACGAATCGTGGTCATATCTTCCTGTGTCTTTGACGATTCTAATCGTAACACCCGTTTGACCCTCCTCTTCGTAGTTAGGTCTAATGACTCAAGGTTATTTTTTGGGTTGTCTTTTAAAGTGGCTCAGAGGCTGGTGAAACACGTGATACAAATGCATACTCGCCATAGTTACCTAAAATATGTGTGCTCGACCAAACTCACTTCATTGGACGTCAACATATAGCTTTAGTCGATCATGCATATATACATTATATATATATATATATATGTATATCCAGGTCATTGAGAGAGAGGCCAAAAGACCTATTGTCCCCATCCTTAAATCTACTTCTTCGCTGGCCTCACCATCCAGATGAACCCTTCTCCTTTTCGATCACCGAACCTTTCTGGTATTTTTGTTTCGCAATGTTTAACATATTCGAATCCCTCGGATTCATATAGTGGTCGACCAGCTACAGATGCTTCTACTATGGCCTAAATTGAACTCACGTTAGCTACAGTTGTCAATAAGAGCGGGGTCCAGTCGATGCTCAGATCGACAGATTCTACATACCGCATATCCAAGTTCATCAGCGATTGCAGTTCCCCATTTGACTAAAAGACGACCTGCTCCCCGACGTTGATAAGCGGGGTCAACAGCAAGGATATCCAATGCTATAACCATCGGTCAGCGAAAACACAAACAGCAACTCAAGACTCTTACAAACTAAATGGCCCTCATATTCTTTGATGGCTGCCCGACGAGTGATCAGGAAGTCTCGGTTCAAATACTGAGCCCACTCCTTCTCCTCCGCAGTTTCCCAAAAATCGCCATCTAAATCTTTTTCGGGTGGGATCACACCTTTCCAAATATTCCATTTGGCTTTTGCAATTATAGCGCCTGTGTCTGTATCCACGACTTTGAGAAATTTCGTGTGGGGGTCGTTATTTTTGATATCCCGGAATCGGTTTCCACCACTGATTCGACCAGCCTCAGTATCATGATTTGGATAAACTGCCTCAATCATGGGGTGTCTGGTTCCGAACGCCTGGCAAAAGATCTCAAAGACCCGATGCATATCATCATCATTACATTCCTCAACTTTGAGAACCATTGTGACGCTATGGGGTGTTTCTATTGATGTCTGATTCGGAAAATATTTGGTTGACTTGCGTACGTTTCCTCTCAGGTTTCGACTCATATATGCCAAGATTGATAAAATGACAAAGCGTATCAAGAGTGGAGAGGTGTATTACTCCGTAGTCCACCGGATATCGGAATCGGATATAACCTTAATACGGGCTTACGCACATGCATATGCATGGAGATTTATCCCCACCTACCATGACAGCGATAGAATGTTTAACCGAGCAAACCACCTAGCAAACCACCTAGCAAGTATCTCCTGATACCTATATATCATGGCTCAGAACAACTAACTTCTTCCTTCAGGGCATATATGCAAATGAAAAACTCTCTCTCCTAGAGCAGACACAGCCTATCCCTCGGCGATGTCTCCTCAGAAGAAGAGCTCTCGCTAGCTAGAAAGGCATGCTTAGTTCGCCTTCTTAGCCCTTTTGCTGTCACTATGAAATTGACATCAATACGTCTGCTTTGGTCCGTTAGTGCGTTGCTTTTTGGCTTCCATTGGTCTCTCTGTATTTGCGGCCTTTCTCTGGGTTCGTCAGGGAAAGACTTGGTGATTCTCTACCAAGCAGACGATGAGGGATGATATCCCCAAATTCTGAATACCCACATCCATGTGATCTTACACAAATTACGCATCGCGAGCTACTTGCGGAACTCGAGACTCTTCAAATGCAGTGAAAGTATCATCTATTGGGACACTAGATCATTTCGTAAAGACATTCGCGTCTTTACTTTGAGGAAAGCAGAGGTGAGATGATAAGCGTTGCTCAATTCTTCGGTTGAGAGCCTCACTTTTTGCAAGCAATCCTTCGTTAATATCCTGAGATAAAAATAGTTTTACTCAGTCGTTTTCTCCAGTGATTGGTTCTTGCTTGATAACGATTAACCAGATAGTGGTGAATGCTCGCAGTTTTCGTTGACTTAAAGCCGCATTCACAATCAACAAGTTGAATGAGTGAATTGTGAAAAGGTAGATAGCCGCTCACATTTTCTTTTTCTTCTTCGATCTATCAGTATATAACCTTTCTAACAAATCCACATTTTCCTTTTTGTCAAACATGTTGCATATCAGAGATGTCAATATGCCTCGCAAGTATATCGTTTTACCAGCAGCATTAACAATACTTCTCCTTTTACTTACAGGGATGTTCACCGACGTAGGTAAAGAAGAGAGCTTTCTGTTCGACTTCCCCATCATTTCCCTTGATACTACCAAGTTGAAAGACAATATCTTTCAGAGCAATAACTACAGTCTACCCATCACCGATGTATTGAATCTATATTTTCGAACTCACTGTGAAGGGAATTATGTTTCTACACGTAGTATAAGCCCTAGGTTGAAGAATGTATCCTGCTCGGAACCTTCATCTGACGGTATGTTCCATTCGTCTACAAAATACCAATGAAAGAAGAAATTTTTTAACATCCTCAAGTCAAATTTCTACCCGCCAACATTGTCCATCTCCAACTCATCAAACCCAACTCTTCGGTCCAAATTCAACTTCCAGACAACAACTTTGGGCATCAACTTGGCGAAATCCAGAATGCGTTCAAAAAGTCGTATCATGCGGAACTTCATGCGGCACTCGCCATATATGCTACTGCAATTTGCCTAGAAGGCATTGTGTTGATCATAGCTTTTATATCGTTCCTGGGATTTGATGTTGCTTGGATTTTCGGAGGTTTCTCTGTCGTATGTTCTGTGTCTTCTGGTTTTCCTCGGCTTGAATCACCAATCTTGAGCCAGAATTCACATTATACTGCATTGTTGAACACAGAGAATTAACACTAACAGATAAAATAGTTAACGGTAACCTTCATCTTAGTTGGAAATAGCATAACTACGGCCCTTCAATACCGAGCGGTTACGACTATCAATAAATTAGGTGAAGATGTTGGAATTCTGGGGTATCGTGGAACAGGTTTGCTGGTATTAATTTGGTTTACTTTTGGAGTAGCTTCTGTTGCCTCAGCTGCTTGGGGATGGGGTGCGTGGATGATCAGAAGGCCCGATAACAGTAGTGAGACTTCGGATGATGGTGGTGTGTACATGAATTGCAACAGAGACCCAGCGGAAGTTAGAATGGGTGAACCGGTGATGCTGGCTATGAGAGGAGGGAGAGCTGTGAATGTATGTGAGGAAGGAACACACGTGGAGCATGAGATTGATTATGTTAGAGAGAGCCAGATTGTGCTTGCTCTATAAGCAGGGGGTTTGAAGTTGAGTGGGAGACATATATACATCTTATCCGGGCCGTATCTCGATAGAAGTCACAGATGAGTAAGGAAGCCTCATACTAAATAGTTGCGAAGCATTATCGTTCATGTCGTTCAGAGAAGATATATAATACACGCATATCTCTTCAGTGTCAAAAATGGCTTGATCTTGATCTTGGCGCTCTCTTCAATCTGATTTGAAACCTTCACTCTGCTCGGCGTCAAAAATAATGATCATTAAATGTTGCGTCAAGGCCTCACTTTACTCTTACTCGCACATCACCCAATTAATTTATCGATGCAGATATGTATCTAGCTCATCATGTATCTTTAACCTCAAATTATCAAACAGCGACCTTAGAGATAAACACAACAGTAACTTTTCAGAGTAAATCTCAGTTTCAAGAACCCTCATAAAACTCTATCTGTTAATTATACAGCAACCCCCTTGACACTCTAGTCAAGAGCTGTATACTTAGCAATGCGCAATATGAAGAATTCCAGGTCTCGGTGTTCATCAGAGATAACTGGTCGTCGCTCTTCAAACGTCAACTCGTTACCACAAAGCAATTTTACATGATTTAGGGAGACATCACGGTTTCAAGATGTTGTATGAAAAGATAATATCATAGAGTAATCTTTCGAGAGTGCAATCAACTTATGCTTTGTAATCCTTGTAAGCAACTCAAATGAATCACTCTCTCCTAACGCCTGAAGTCTAAGCTCCTCTAACCCTGCATCTTTATGGGAAGATTCCATAGCATACCATGATACGCCTATCAAGATAACCTCTCTCTCTTAAACAAAACTACTCACCATTTATCTGGTTTGAAAGAAGCTCCTATAGAATCTCATCTATGCTACTTTCAACAGACAGTGAGTGTGGCAGCGACGCTCATTGCAATCTGGACACAGCAGATATGCCATCGCTGACATAGAAAAGAGAACTTCAAACAACGCAAGGGTAGAGAATCCAAGCATCAACCAAGACCTATGCACTGGGATACACACCTCATCAGTGCACCGAAACCGACCTCCAAGGCCTACCAAGGCGGATACAAAAACGGCGTTCGTAACTATAAGTATGAGAGCTTGAAATGATGCCTAAATATTTGAAATTAGTATATGTTTCAGAGAGGATAAAGAAATATCTACACACCATCTCCATGTACAATCTCACATCTGAGTCAAAGTCCACTTTGTCGGAAGGCTTACTACGTTCCAAAGTATCAAGGCCCACCCAGAAAACCGCGGCACCAAATATACAACCGAGAATGTAAAGAACAAAAAGCACGGTGATGTTTGTGTACAGGCTTCCGTCAAGATAAAAATTTATAAATGTCAGTAGGGTATGAGCTTCAGTAAATCCAGAAACTTACCGAGCCATTCAAGATGCTCCAAAACACTCTTCGGCAAATCTTCTCCGAAATCTTTTAGGATCATCATTCCTCCCTCTATATAGATGATCAGTATGTATATTTGCACATCAATTGTTCTGAGACTTACCATAGTCTAGGCAAATTTTCTCAATTACAAGATTCCGAGTATCTGAAGTATGATAATTGCTTTTACAGACACGTGCAAAATAAAAGTCATGCCGATCATAAGCGGATATTGGAGAGCCCGCAAATAGCTTTAGATCTCTCGTATCTAATGATACAATTGGCTTAATCTTGAATCCCAGAAAGATTATAAGTATAATAGTGATATTGGCCAAGATGGATGGCATCCCAACCAATGCTGAATTTCTTTGACACCGGGGCTGGGGTCTCATCGTGACAGTATGCTTTCGTTTTGTTGGGGTTGGCTTTAATTTTCGATGGTGTAGAATTCTTGATTCATGTAGGCTCACTCATAAAGTTTTCTTTTTTGTTGAATCGAATTACTTTCGCTAATCTAAATCTATGTTCTGAATAATCCACCATGTGGTCGATTTCCGGGTCTACCGCAGAGTATCTGATAGTCTTACCGTACTGGGCCGGAATGACTGATGCCTATGATAGATTACTTTTATAATGTATTAATCTAGACGAGCTAGCTTAGAGCTAGCTATCCTGAACATCTCAGACCGTATCAACCGTATCCCGCGGCATTTCCGACTGTCTTTCTAGACCTTGAAAGAATAGTCGATTCGGAACTTCAAAACCTTCATTATCATTCAGTACATCATGTGAATATCAAACGACATACAACATACAGTTCAAAGCCCGCAGGGCAAGTCTAGACTTCTCGTCTAACTATCATATCAATATAATAATACGCGCCACAGTTTTATTATAGTATACTATTGCCTACACTGCCCAGAGGTAGTGCATCTGCCGTTCTTATCCTCAGCCAAATTTCCTCAAAAATCCGTCAACATACTGTAATCATTTCAAGTGACCTTCTAGACGAAGCTTCGGGCGGAGGGATTATTTCTAGACACCTACTTCTAGGTGAGAGACCTTCAAAATAACGGCGAGTAGAAAACAGGAAGTGTAAGACCGAATAAAGGTAGTGAATCTCGCTTGGAGATACAGGACTTTAACTAGGTACCTACCTATTCCTACTATCCAGCCCCCTTTCCTTCCAACTCTAATAAGATTCTATCGAGAAAGGAATTGTATGTATCATTCATAACAGGGATGTCGATGTACTCCTCAGTGTGAGTAAAAATGGGTAAAAGAGAAAACACTCCTTTGACAGCGCATGCAAAGTTTACGTTTCGAAGATGATGGTTGGAATCGCATGATGATGTATAGGTATGTTTTAATGACGATATTATGACTATTTTGTGGTGGAGGCTCAAGCTTTGACACCTCTATAAATAGATTAGTGAATATACTGTTCACAATGAAGAAGTAATGCGTGAAAGCCCTTATGTTTTTATGAGATGTTCGAACAGTATTCACGTAATACATGAATATGAATCAAAGCCGATGGAAAAACAACGAGTTTATTAAATCCCCCAACATCTCGAACGCTCTCAAGCATAAAGAGTCTCAAAGTAGACTATTCTCAACTTTTTTAAATACACTGCTCATTGTCGTTCACTATAAAATCCCAAAGCCATAAACTTCAACTAAATCCTACGAAATATCCGCCCAACTCCTAACCTGAGATTAATATCAAAACCAGGTATTTTACATTGCTTTACTAACTCTATAATCATAAACTTCAACCTGGGCCACGTCCGTATCCTGCATGCATTTGAGGTGGAGGTCCTGAAGGTCCTGAAGGTCCCCGTGCGTATTCAACTCGAAGTGGAGGTGGGGATGGAGGTGGAGGTGGGTGCCCTCGAGGTTCCCTTATATATGGATCTGGAGGCGACACTATTCTCATTCCAGGGGGCATTGACATTTCCCTCGAGGCCGGGTCCCCTCTCGAAATAGGCCCGAGGTGATCTTGCCTAATATTGTGGACCGGGATCTGTAACCGTTCAGCCTCATCATCAGGTCCAGATTGAATTGAATCCCCGTCATCTAGAGAATATCGACGTGTATCCTCACCGTTTCTTGGAGTATCCGAAAACGCGTGGATCGCTCTCTCATTCTTAAGTGTCCCCACAATCAGGATCTCCCTACTCACGAGACTGAAGAGCACAGCCGTGAACCCCAATCCAATAATGCTAGTGCCGACTTTAACAGTAATGTTGTCATTGCTAATGGACTGGATTTGGCACTTGTAATCAAGCAAGATCCATGGACTGGCTATTGCAGCCGCAAGCAAAGTAAAGAAGGATATCTAGTTACACTATGTAAGAACACCGCTTTTGAGATGGGTATAGGGAGAAAGAAGAGAATACATACAAAAGCCATAGTATTCTCGATTTTAGGGTGATGTAGATCATTCAGATGGACTTTTATGCCGAACAAGCCATGGGCGAGATGGGCGAGGCCACTCAGAAAAAATAAGGCGAAGATGATTTTGAGATTTGGAAGTCCTGCGGGAACATTTAGTGACACAACGATGTAGAATATTGATTATTTATTTCGAAAATGGGTATTACCAGAAATTGGAGTATCTTCCGAAACAACTGCGGGTAGTCCACCATTTGCTGATCGAAAGTGTTAGCAATTTTCTGCCCAGACTTGATCGGGGTTTCAATCCACCAAGGCTATAGCATCCGTCGTTTTTGCCGTTAACTATTGACCTGCAACCTTCAAAATAATAAATCAAATATAGATCATACTCATCGTCAGGAGCATGTAACTCTAGGAGAGAGGTTTTCAGTACTCCTGCAATGAGAATAATTATTGCGAACGTCACAACCAAAATGACGAGAAATATTTGAAAGTACTTTGGATGTGTCTTGACCTTATCCGTGAACTTCCTATGAATATCCATTGTGATAAATATCAGATAGATGGTTTGTTTGCTTGTCGTCGTGTTTTATTCTCGAGGTTTGGGTGTCCTGTGTTGTAATAGTTGAGAAGTTAACAAGTTAGAAATGGACTTCTTTGACTTTTGTATGGCCTAGTGTAGAATCCAGGAGTCATAATACATTTGGTCTTGACTTCGATGAGTAATAGCCAGTCACTTGAAGTTGACTTTACCAACTCTGACTCTTTACTACATGCGATTCACTGGAAACACACGAGCATGTGCCGCTCAAAGATGGATAAATTCATATTTTTATATCTTCTCAACCATTATTTGGAATAATGCTGACTACCATGGCCATCCATCAACTTCTCTTACTCATTCCGCACGGCCAACACTGCAGGAGCCCATCTCACCAGAGTAATGGCATTTATTATGAATGCATATTCCTTACTGTAAGGTCGAAAAATGGTGAGGATGGAGGTCATGACGCCTGCGAAGCTAGGGACAGAGTATGGATCATTTTCATCATTATGATTATTAACGGATGTGATTTGGTATCAATGGATGTGGTGTCCTATGTAGGAAAACTTCATTTCAAACTCTTCAATATAATTCGAATTAAAGGTATATACCACGGTGCTTGCTATTGTGAAAACCACTCGTCGAGCCCCAGAATCACAGTAATACTGGAGTAAGTTCTGCCAATTCAGAAAAAAAATCACACAGCTTGAGATAAAGTACCAAGGAAACCAAAGATCAGGAGAAAAGCAAATCTCAAGCGAGAACTATTTTAAGAACGATGAATCAAAAACGCCACCTCAATTCCTCAATATTCTCCCTGCATAAGCCACTGAGACAACAGCACAAAAGCAAAAAGATAAAGATAGGAAGGGGCCAGATAAACCATTTCAAACCCTCAATCCGCATAAAATCACCCCTAGGGTTTGTGATCTTTCATCATCATCTCTCGAAGATGTTCTTCAATTTCCTGTCGGGAGCACACGGTGTACCATGGAAATTTATATTTCTATGCATCTCAGCGTTGATTATGATTCATTACATGCTGGTGGATATTCAGCTTAATGATGAGGCCATACCGGAGACACCAAAGGTAGTTGAAGGAACAGATATAATTCCTAATCCGACGCCTCCGAAACATGCAGGTTCTGCAGGAACTTTCGATGAATTCAAGGCAATGCTCGGTATCTTTGGTGGAACGGAAACATCGAATTCAGAAGATGCGAGCCTCTCAGAGGATACAACGAGTTTAGGAACCTTGGGACCCAGTCATAGGTTGAAGAAACCATTCCTCGGATCTAAGCAAGACACTCGAGATGATGAATATGTCTCTGTGTGCATGGCGGTAAAAGATCAGCAAAAAGACTTACCCGAATTCTTCACTCACCATTACTATCATCTTGGGATAAAAAGATTTTACGTCATGGACGATGGTTCTGATCCACCTCTTTCGGAAATGGAGGATTTGGGCATACCTCGAGAGCATGTAACATTCCAGTACTTCAATAAATCAGAACATACCTACTACATGCAAGAATACGTCTACAAACTTTGTGTCGAAAAGTACCGGAGCAATCACACTTGGATGGCTTTCATAGACGCCGACGAATATCTGGAGATGACTGGAAAAGAAAATTTGAACGAGTTCCTAGAATCTTATGAGGAAGATGAACACGTCGGTGCAGTATATGTGTCTTGGATGACACATTCCTCTGCTGGCCTAGTAAGCAGACCCAAGTCTGTGCGCCAGGCCTACATTGATTGTATATGGGACGGAGAAGGACATAATGTGCTAGGTAAAACCATTGCCAAATTGTCACTTTATGTTGGTCCAAACACCGTCCATCAGGTCCGATGTAAAGACGGAGCGATAGTTGTTGATGAAAACGGGATCAAGGCACCTGTAAGACGATATTCGCCCACGAGAAATCGAATAGCACTGCATCACTATGCGTTGAAGAGTCGAGAGGAATATCAAGAGAAAGTTGATCGAGGGAATGCTATGAGTACTCCGAAAAATTGGGGATTTTGGGATAGCGTTGAAGGCATGGCAGGTAGAGAATGTCTTTCCATGACAGAATATTATCCATGAAGAAAGCATTGTCCAGGATGAGCTTTGGAAGCATTCGAAATCTGTATTGGTAATTTTGAGATCGACGAAAAACTTGTAATTAATACAGATCCGTATTTCTCAATTTGAAGTGCGTCCATCGCATTTGGTTGATCTCCTTGTCCGATGGTGTTGTTTTAGGTTGGTTGATGGTAGTCCTAAGTCATTGATCGGGTGCCAGATGGAATTCCATGATCTTCATTCACTCCTCTGATATGATCTGTTAAGTGTGTTCGAATTCTCTCAATACAGACTGGTGAGGACAAATTCCACAAGTAGATCAGACCGTGTATTGCTATTGCCTGTATCAGAACAATATCCCGGAGACTTGGACTTCCTGATGGAGCAGTCTCTCACACAACAAAGCGTCGAGTCTAGAACAGGCGATGGGATTTTCCGGTCATGAAAAGTCTCAATGATAGAGATACTCCATTCCATGTTTGCATCGTGAAAGTCTAACTCTCTGAAGGCTGCTTCAAGAATCTCTGATTTCTGGGTCTTGACGAAGAGTGTAGTAGTCACCTTGAATGCATCCGAGAATTATATCTACCTAGTACGTACCTAGGTACATAGACACCTCCACGAAGTACGGAGTAGCACTGAGCACATTGAACAAGCCATCCAGTATTCCGTAGACCGACTGGTAGGTAGGTAGTTATTGCCAATCGGCCATTCTTCTTTTGGTCGATATCGACACATTGCGCAGAATCACGGTTCGCATGATGATGAAGCTGTGGACAGTTTGTGATGCAGATCTTGAGCACATTTCATGAGTTTCCAATGCCGCTCTTGAGTGCTTCAGCTGTCTAGGAATAAGCTTTGAGGTCAAAAAAGGTTGAAATTGGTAAGGGATGAGATAAGAAATGATTTAAAGTTTTAAAAGCGGCAACAAATTGAGTGAGTTTTGGTAACTTTTAAACTTAATTTAGTTAGTCTGAGCGTGTTTGAGCACTTTATTTACCCACCTTGGCACCTTTTCAACACCACCTTCTGAACTGGTTCAAACAACGATGAATAATAATCTGAGCAAGATAGAGCAAAAAGAGGAAAGAAGAGTGAAAAAGAGGTAGGGAAACCAGGTAAAGATGCAAAGAGCCACGAAATCTTCTCAATTGCGGGCCATGATTCTTTTGGAATAGGTAACCTTTGAAAGTTTTGATATTGATATCTCTCAATACATGCTCAATGATTGCTTGACACTCACTTGAATATTCACTTCAAACGACAGCCTCAGTATCAAACTCAAACCCAACCTTGACGACCGTACTCACCCAAAGCAAATTGCTTCTTCCTCATCTTCATCTGATCTCCAGATACCCTTCAAACTGGACATACTGAAACCTTCGCAACGACATCGCCTATTCGGAATATATCCCTAGGTAGGACTAGGTATTCAGAGCCTCATACCTTTCTCCCCCGGATTTTCATGCAAAGGAATCTAGAAACAGACACTTCCAACTGCCTCAGATCCACTTGTTTGCAAATATCTACCTCATAACTTCTCATCGTTCTTACCTCAACTATATTAAAGAGTTTCTGTCCTCTCTTCCTGAACATCAGCATTCAATCAACTCAAGCTACTACTACCGTAATCCATTAATACTTATTTGCACGAAACGATCCGCCGGCGGTTCATACAACATCACTACAAATACCCATACATTTGTTTTCCCAAGAAAACTTCTAATATCACCCAATCAAACTCTCCATCAACTTTCAGCCAAAATGGATATGTCAACTTCAGACATGGACATGTCCACCATGTCCACCACCATGTCCAACAAAACCACAATGGACATGTCCATGATGTCAATGACCTTCTTCATCTCCAAAACCACCGCCCTCTACTCCACCATGTGGACTCCAACAACCGACGCCGGCTATGCAGGAACTTGTATCTTTCTCGTTCTCCTCGCTACACTGTTCCGCGGACTTCTCGCCGTCAAAGCCTGGAAAGAAAGCGCATGGCTTGCCGAAGAAACCAATCGTCGCTACGTTACCGTTGCTGGGAAGGGCCCCAAATCCGAGCGTATAAGCATAGACAGCGATTCGAAGAATATGACACTTAGTGAGAATGGTGTCGAGGAGAATGTAATGGTTGTTAAGACACGTAGCATGGGTGTTAGACCATGGAGATTGACTGTCGACCCTGTGAGAGCGGTTATGGATACTATTATTGCTGGTGTCGGATGGTTACTGTAAGTTTTCTTCTCGCAATCTATTTGATTTCTATTGAATATGGACTAATTGAGAAATAGTATGCTCGCAATTATGACTATGAATCTCGGATATTTCCTATCTGTCTTGGGCGGTACATTCCTTGGAAGTTTGGCATTAGGTCGTTATGTCATTGCTTTTGAGCACTAGACATATCAAATTACAAACAAACAACCTATAGATGTACTGCGGCAGGCAAGCAGCTTTATGGGATTTAATTTAATGATTATGATCATGAGATAAGGATGGAGGGTTGGAGAGGAGTTTAGGATGACAAAGCGCACATCATTTCAAATAGAGAAATGATTGGTGTTTTGACTTAAGGGGAGGAATTTGGGTATTATGACTCGTTAATGAAGCATGATTGTTAAATTACCTGATACGATCGATTACGATGTGATAATTCTTTGTCTGGATTTGGGATTTTTGAAAGGGGAGTTGGGGATTAAAAAGATGGCATAAGTATTGCTTATTAGCATGAGCATCAGCATCAACATCAGCATGGAAGGGGTACGATACGAAGATCAAGAAGACGAGAGCTGGTATAAATTCATACAGATTACATATATCAGAAAGAAGAAAACCCACTTGAAAATAAGCTCTATTCCCATCTCGCGGCGATCACAAACATGATGTCCTCACAATGCACTTCAATCAAACCCAACCTACCATCTGAAAAACGCATTCAATCTCCAAAGAACTACCCTCCCATTCTAATTTCTAAATCTATGGTAAAATCATTTCATATTATATTATATCATATCACATCATTTCTTTCATCACACCACAATACTAAATAGTTTCTGCGAATACCCGTCACAGCTGCAGGATGTACGACCAACCTCGTCTTACAAACTCCTGTTGTGAATATATACTGCTTGGAGTTTTGTGCTGCGGTTTTTATGGGGTGTGGGTTGGATGGATGGGGAGGGGGAGAGAGAGAGGGAGAGGGAGAGGATAAAGATGAGGATGAGGATAACTGGGTGTATAGGAGGGGGTAGGGATGTGAAGATATAGATGGACATGTTGTGTCATTATGTGTATAATTCTTATACGTGATGGTACGAGGTAAGGAGAGTTGATATGTCGGGTATGTATGAAGGCGACGCGCATATGGAAATTGAGGGGTGAGGGAGGGAGGAGATTAGGAGATGGGTGAAGGTGCGAATAGATGGTGTAATGGGTTTGGAAATGGGAAATGGAAGATAGAAGATAGAGGATAGAGGATAGAAGTAGATATAGAAGTAGATAATAGAAGTAGATAATAGAAGTAGATAATAGAAGTAGATAATAGAAGTAGATAATAGTATTACCTAGATAGTTATGAGGTATGAGGTATCATCAATATCAATCAGAGAAGGTAATAATATATATGAATATATACCTATAGATAATCATCCATCCATACCCAAGAATACGTTAAATTTGAGTCCTCGCGGATAGGTATCGTATCGTATCTTCATGAATTCTCACAATCGATTTTCCCATTTCCGTCGAATATAACTTCTCTTGGGGGTCTATCGTAGAGTTCTTGGAATTTCCTGCGGATTTATGTATACATATAGATACAGATACAGATCCAATCTAGTCCATTCCATTACAAATCCAGCAACCTCACCTTACCTTACCCACCTCACCTCACACCAAACCAAATCCCTCGCCTACAAACTTCAACTTCGCAGTACCTACTAGATAACCAATCTAACATCCAACAACCCATTTCCTCATTCCCAATCAACGACACGACATGTTTGACTATTGTATTTATTAAACATGTTATCCCATTGGAACCTTATTTCGATCACACCACCAATTCAAACCACCAATGATTATCTAGTTCTATCCCTATATATCCCTACCTCCCGCACTAGCGCACCTCTACCTCCAGCACCTCAAACCCCTTGAGAAAGAAAATTTCCCCACTCAGGGTAGATGACATGAAACAGAACATGTTCCACCCTTCACGAGATGATTCTGTCGTGTGAATAAGATATGATATGATATGATATGATATGAGATGGGATCCCAAGAATATTATGCTCATATTATCTCTGTTTTGCTCTCATCCTCATGCTTTATTCTCTCTTATCTTGCAAGCAGCGAGCTTGGTAAGATTTTGATGAGGGAGAAGCTAGGGTATGTGTGGTGTTGTGGTGATGTGGTGTTGTTTGATCATGGCATAGTTTTATGCTGGATTTTGAGGGGGGTTTCGAGAGAAGAGGGGGGATGGGGGGATGGAGAGAGAGAAGAGAGCATGTTTGTTGAATGTGCTCATTTTCTCGGGTGCGTGGGAGCAGGTGCTTTGGAGGGTGTGAGAGAGAATTGTCGGTTATATTGCTATTGGGGACTTTGGTGGTGAGGATAAATATAATAGAGTATGTTGTGTCTATTTTGTAGCAATATCGTCTTATATCATTTAATCATATCTTGAATTTCAATCCAGCAAACACCTACCTAATCACCGCTCACTCTTCTCTTTCTATCAACAATGTACACCACTACCCCCTTCTCCGCGCTGGTCGCCTTCTCCCTCCCCCTCCTAAGCACCGCTCATTTTCTCCTCTCCTACCCCGCTTCCCGCGGTTTTAACGAAGACACACTGTCCCAATTTCCGTGCGGAGGACAAGATACCGTATCTAGCAATCGCACCCTCTGGCCTCTATCCGGCGGTTCCATTGCTCTAGACATGGAAGATGCATCTGCGAATATCGAGGTGCTTATTGGGTTTGGTAACCATGTCGGAAGTGCATTTAATACCGTTTTACGACAAACTTTTGCCGAGACGGGGACGGGAAGTTTTTGTATGGAGGGGTTGGTGGTGGATGGGGTGGGGTGGAATGTGACGGAGGGGATGAATGCTACGATTCAGGTTGTGACTGGGGAGGCGGGGACGAGTGGGGGGTTGTACAATGTGAGTTTGATAGGTTTCTATGGAGATTGTGATGAGAGATATGGGGGAGATGGGATGAGTTGCTGATGAATCTTCATTACAGTGTGCGGATATTACTTTCTCGAAAAATGTATCGGTGTCTGTGGGAAGTTGTTCGAATGCAACGGATGTGAAGACTACTGCAGCGACAGTTGCAGGAAATCCGAATACTACGTCGACTTCGACAGAGTCTAGTTCTGGGGCAGCTGCATTTGGAGGAAATTATAGATCGGTGGGATTGGTGGCTGCTGGTGTTGTGATTGCTTCGATGTGGTGATGTTGATATATTATTTCATACCATGTGTAACCTAGTTTACACTACCTAGCATTTAAAGTAATATAGTACTTTTGCTGGCAGATGTCTTCATTACTGACGGTTAAGAGAGGACAAAGATTTCCTTCTCAAAAATGATAGATCAATAGGAGAAGCCAAGATATCCTTTTGATAGGTGTCGTATAGAACATTGTATGAAACTATACCAAAACATCACTGAAGTCTTGGAATCGGAATACTTCTTTACACACGGAATAATCTTTTGCCTACACTTGGATGTACGATAAAGAGAGGTCTTTAGAGGTTCTTTATGTGCCTCTTAATGACGTATCTCTATCCTATTGTCGATCCAACCCAGAGATCTACTCACATGTAGTGATGAATTCACACTTCCTTCTATGGTAGTATCCAAACAACCGAACACGTTAATAATATCCCCTCCTTAACCTCGCCCCTCTCCCTCTCCCCTCACCAAGTGATCGGAGGCATAATATGAAACCATGCGTATATCGGAATGCGACATGAGACAAACAAACCGACCTCGGTCCCAAGTTTCCTGTTACCCGGAAGCATCAAGAAGCAATGATTGGCAATACAAATCCAATGCGATAATCGGACAGATGCGGAAGGAAGACCGGAAACGATTTCTACACTGAGTACTCGTATGCCGGGACCGTGGACCATTGTTACTCGACTTAATCGAGTAATGCAATACATTTACATTTACATACCTCGGCTTATCAAAGTCTAGGCGATAACAGATAACCGGTCTTTTGTACGGGTTATCGCCCGAGGATAGCCAGGAGCCAGGGTTACATTGTTGCCCAGCATTTGACAAGGTGTGCAGGGCTGGATTTGGTATCAGAAGCAGAAGAAGGTCTGGAAGGAAGTTCTCTTCTCTGAAAGTCTCTCCACATGCAAAAAAGTCAAATGAAATGAATGAATCTCATCATATCAAAATGAAGATTTGATTGTTGAGGAAGATATGAGGATATTGGTTACTCAACCATTTGTTTATATATACACACACATATATATGAATCTACCTGGGTACTTGATAGTGAACAATGTCATTGACTAAAAACTCAATGTAAAAGACGATATCGACATCATCTATTTTGTCAAAGATCTCGAATCTTTATCGTCATCAGGAATGAAGTACTAGTGGAGGTACAAACAAACAAACAAACAAACAAATCCATCATCCATCCACCCATACATACATCCATCCATAAAGAAAAAAACGTAAGGCGGCGACAACCGACAAAAGGGATTTCCCCACATTCACAAGCTTAGATCTCAAAGCTTCTAACCAAAAGCTATCTTTCCCCTCCACCCGAATGGCATGCTGCTCTTGGACTTAGGAACTTGCATGCCGAGTGGCTCCTCATTGCCGCGACCAAGCTCCTCATATAGTCATAGCTAGGTATCCTTCCTCTTATTCCCCTCATACATCTTTGAAGTTTTAAGTTGAACTTTCTTTCATATCTTCTGCATTTCTCAATTCTTTCTAATTTGACATCTCTCTTGACATCTATCTGATATCATCCTCACATCGAATATATACCTACAAGATCAAATCTCATTTCTATCCATATACCCATCAAAAGAGTTGTCCAAGATGTCTCAAGTCGAAGCTCAGTTACAGGGCGTGAACATTTCCGGATCTATCACAGATTTGAATAAAAAGATTCTCAGTAAAGATGCTGTTGCATTCCTTGCTCTCCTTCACAGATCCTTCAATGGAACCAGGAAAGAATTACTTCAACGCAGAGTCATCCGACAAGCAGAATTGGATAAAGGTTCTCTACCAGATTTCCTCCCCGAAACAAAACACATCCGAGAGAATGATGCTTGGAGGGGAGCACCACCTGCGCCGGGATTGATTGATCGTAGAGTGGAAATCACTGGTCCTACTGATAGGAAAATGATTGTTAATGCTTTGAATTCAAATGTTTGGACATACATGGCCGATCTCGAAGGTATGATTCATGTATTCCAGTAGTAAAATATTCTTTCAAATCTAACCTGCTCATAGATTCCAGTGCTCCAACGTGGGATAATATGATCAATGGACAAGTCAATCTATACGATGCCGTCCGAAGACAAGTCGATTTCAAAATAGGCGAGAAAGAATACAAGCTCCGTACCGATCGTACACTCCCCACACTCATCGTCCGACCCAGAGGATGGCATCTCGAAGAGAAGCATTTCACCGTCGACGGCGAGCCCATCTCTGGTAGTCTCTTCGATTTCGGATTATACTTTTTCCACAATGCGAAAGAACTCATCGCCAGTGGATTCGGACCATATTTCTATCTCCCCAAATTGGAATCGCATCTCGAAGCTCGTTTATGGAATGATGTATTCAACCTCTCTCAAGACACCCTTGCCATTCCCCGCGGAACCATCCGAGGAACCGTTTTGATCGAAACCATTCTTGCCGCATTTGAAATGGACGAGATTATCTACGAACTCCGAGATCACAGCTCGGGTCTCAATTGTGGAAGATGGGATTACATCTTTAGCGTCATCAAGAAATTCCGCAACAATTCCAATTTCGTCCTCCCCGATCGATCGGCCGTGACCATGACCGTCCCTTTCATGGACGCATACGTGAAGCTCCTGATCCAAACTTGTCATCGAAGACAAGTACACGCCATGGGAGGAATGGCCGCTCAAATCCCCATCAAGGATGATAAAGCCGCGAATGACAAGGCCATGGAAGGTGTCTATGCGGATAAAATCCGCGAAGCCAAAGCCGGTCATGATGGTACGTGGGTCGCGCATCCCGCACTCGCATCAATCGCTTCCGAAGTATTCAACAAACACATGCCTACCCCCAATCAAATGTTCGTCCGTCGAGCCGATGTGAAGATTGGACAAAATGACCTCCTGAATATGAATGTCCCGGGTGCCGTTACCGAAGAGGGGATTCGCAAGAATCTCAATATCGGATTGGGATACATGGAAGGCTGGCTCCGGGGCGTCGGCTGCGTCCCGATTAATTATCTCATGGAAGATGCAGCGACGGCCGAAGTGAGTCGTTCCCAATTATGGCAGTGGGTTAAGCATGGTGTGAGCACGGCCGAGGGAAAGAAAGTCGATAAGGCGTATGCGTTGCGATTACTCAAGGAACAGGCGGATCAGTTGGCAAGTAAGGGAGCAAAGGGTAATAAGTATCAGTTGGCCGCTCAATATTTCTCGAGTCAGGTTACTGGGGAGGATTATGCGGATTTCTTGACTACGTGAGTTTTTTGTCTCATCACATCCTATCCTATCCTGCTCTGTCTTTTCTTTGATGTTTTTGGGAAGAAAACCAATCACTAACACATAACAAACAGTCTTCTATATAATGAAATCACCGCGGTGGGACAATCATCGCCTGCTTCTAAATTGTAGTCGTGTGGTCGTCGTGTAGGTAGTTTGTGGGTGCGTGGGTGGATATGATATCATGATATCTGAATTGTTTTTATGATTTTGGGCTCGGGGATTTGTTTATTTATTTATGTATTCATGAGGGTTTTAATGATACTTGAAATGAAATGAAATGAAATTGTAAAATGAAGTATGAAGTATGAAATATGATTTCTTCTCTGTGATGTATTGTTTTTATGCTGCTGAGGGGTCAGGGGTGAGGGGTGAGGGGTTTTCTCTGGGTGTGATATGAGATGATTACTCGGGTAGGTAGTAGGTAGGTAGGTAATTTATGATGAGCTTTTTTCTAGAGGTTTGATGTTTTTTTATTGCGCTTGTTGTTGTAAGATCTTACTTTATTTCTTCTTTTCCTTCACTTTTTCTTTTACTTTACTTCTTCTTGTGGTTCTTCTATGCTCGAATTTCTGATTTCTGATTTTTCATATTCCATACTCTGTACTTCGACTTCGACTTCGGTTGAGGATGGAATAAGAGAGGTGTAGGTGGAATAACAGAGATGTAGGTGGTATAGGTTATAGGTTATAGGTTATAAGTAAGATGGGTTGAATACTTACTAGGTAGGTTATTTGAGTAGTTGGGATTGGGATTGGGTTATGGAAGAGGGTTTTGGGAGAGGGAGAGAGGGAGAGAGGGGTTTTTTAGATGGGTTGGATTGGACTGAATTGAGTAGTAGTAGGATATAAGAGATTGGACTGGGAAGATTTTATTGAATTGAATGGGATTGGATGGATGGATGGATGGGGAAGTAGGAGGTAGGTAGAAAAGATATATGGGGGAAAACATAAGAGGAAGAGGGAAGATATACGAGAAATACAAGATCTTTAATTCATTTCGCAGGATTGGAATCTTATCTAAATATTATGATGGTGATGGTTATAGATACTGAGAATGTATAATGGATATTTATAGATATTTATAGTGATGAAAATCTAGATATTAATAGTAATATAATATAGAGAAAAGTAATAAATTTATAGGAAATATATAGTATATAAATAATAACACAAATCTTTACATCTTAGGATGCGTTCGTATCGATTTTCGATTTATTTAATGAAATCTCTAATAATGTTAAAATGATAAGAGTATTCAGACTAATATATTTAAACGACATTGAATATATTTGAGTAGCGTTTAAAAAATAATAGAGATAAATAAAAATACAGATTTCATAAAGATTTTGATAAATAATCTTAATCTTTGTAAGGCTCTAAAAAGCTGTATTATAATTTATTTATTTATTTATTTAATAAATATATAAGAATTTTAAAAATCATCTATCGAGTAAATTATCAGGGTTTATTTGATAATTTCAAGTATTTTGTAAATATATTTATTTTGTAATCTCAAGCGTTCGGTAAATCTATCATTTGAGTTTATTTACCTAGTGTCACGGGGTGACACTAAGCCCTTTCTGTCCTGTCCTGTCCTGTCCTGTCCTGCTATATATGTGAGAGTAAGGTAGAACTTCCAGTTCTACCTCCTAGTCTTTTGGGCGTTTAGCTCAGCGGTAAAGCTTCTGAATACTCCCAGAAGTGATCCCGTGACACCTAGTAATTTAGATTTCATAGGTAATTAAAATAAATTGAAATAAATCGATTCAAACGCGCCCTTAGACATTCATGAATCTAATCACATTATCGGTTCGAAACAAAATCCTAGGTAGATGGGTAAATACTAGATAGATAGGTGTGGGTGTGGGTTTGTAATATGGAGTATGGTGTAGTACAAGGAATATGATACGAGGATATAGTATGTGATATGTGTAGTACAAGGAGGATGGGGTGTATAATACTAGGTATTCTCATGAGGATTTCGAGGGTTTTGGGGTTTTGTGAGAGGGTACTAGGTAGGTAGTTAGTGTTTTGTGGGTAGGAGTGATTGATTGGGTGGTGAGAGTGAGTGATTGGGTGGTGGGTGATGGATGCTTTGGTGAGGGGAAAGATTTGGATGTTTGGATGGGAGGATGGTTAGGAGGATGGTTGTGAGGATGGTTGTGAGGATGTTTGTGTAGGACAGAGGTGTGAAAAGTGAGGAGTGAGGGTAAGGATTGAAGTATGTATGTAGTGAGAATTGAGAATATGGTAAGTGAGGAGAGAGGGGTGAGAAGTGAGGGGTGAAAGGTAAGCAGTGAGAATCAAAGTCTATAGTAAATGAGGGGTTTGAGGAGTAATATAATGTGATTTGATTTGATGTGCCATGAGTTTATTGTATTATGATTTATATGATTATATCTACGTAAACTCACCATACTAACCTTGGAAATCTGAATACTAGATATCTCTCAGAATTCTCAAAATCGCCGAGTTCAATACCATCTACCTAGTATCCACTCACCCATCTCCTAGCGCCCTCCTCCACGAAAACCAATGCACGATACTATACCCGAGTCCTACCTCGCATATCATTATATTACGTAGGATGGATGGATATCATCTTCAGCCTCATTCATGGACGTGGGGAAAAACATGGCTTTTGTCATATGAACGATGGAGAGGGTACGATAACTACATCCATAGTATCAGAGACGAAGAAAAAGATGTGGTCGGATTTGTGTTACTCTCGGATGGAGTGGTGAGTGGATGGATGGATGGATGGATGGTTTATGGATGATGGAATGGATGGTGGAATGGATACCTACTATGCATGTGTGCGCTGATCCTTCTTCTTGGCATGGCCTTGCAAATATTGCTGGGTGGTTTTTTAGAGCCCCACATACATAGATACATACTTGGTACGAGGTAATCTTATACATGGCAATTTTATGTAGACGGTTGTTGGATGAAGGAATGATGATGATGATGGTGACGATGATGATGATGACGATGATGATGATGAAGATGATGATGATAAAGAATCAATGAGACACCACCGCGAATATCAAGAGAAGAAAGAAAGACGGAAAAGATAGAAAGATTCACTCATCTTACAATCTTTATATTCCTCCCACCTACCTAGGTAATTGGCAAGTGTTCATTCCACCCTCGGTATCATAGTAAGGCGTACGAGAAGTGAAATGAAGTGAAGTGAAGGGAAGTATATATGTACCTAGGTAGGTAAATATGTCAGTACTCAAGTGACTACTCCTCCTACCTCCCACCAACTTCGGACGTTTCTCTCTTTCTTGTTTATCGTATTGTTTACGGGATACAGCATGGACTGTATGTATTATGTATGTGGGAGTGTGTGTTTGTGTAATGAATGGTTCGTAAGATCTGAAGATGAGTGGTTCTGTCGTGTTACTTGACTTTGGTTGTGGAGGTGGAAGGGAAGGGCTGTTTGAGTACTGCATATATTGAGGAGATATCGACCTCATACCTACTCATGCTCATGCTCATGCTCATGCTCATGCTCATACATATATTTGACTCTCATCCCATCTTTCAATCAATTCCACCTTCCTACTACGGAATAGATTCTCTTGAGAATTATCTAGCCGTACCTAGGGACTTCAAGTATAATATATACGAGAACAAAACCTCATATCAACTCTCAAGGTGTACGAGGTATTCATTCATCATCGATTACATACAATACAATACACTACAAGCATCATTCTTTTCTCTCTTCACTCTTTACTCTTCACTTCACTCTTCACTCTTCTCTTCACTCTACCCCTCTTCAATCTTATTAATCCCCTTATTATTTAACCTTTTCACATTTAACTTTTCTCATCATCGATTACATACAATACAATACGTATTATCATTCAAATTACTCCATTCCATCCAATCACAATTCAAGAACTTCTAATCCTTCCTTTCAAGGAATCAAAAACATCTTTTCCCATAATTACGAGGAAATATCCAGGTTCTCACTACCAGGAGTTGGGGGGGGGGGGGTATCCAACAAGGTGTTTTTATTGACATCTCCCTCATTTCATCTGGAAAGCTTTTCATTCGCACGCATCCTGTCTATCGTATCCAATATCCAACATCCAACATCAGAGATCAGAGATTTCTTTCAAATCATATCAACCGAGTAATATCTCCGGTTCACGTGAAAATCAGAGTTCAAAAAAGGAAAAGAGAAAAGAGAAAGAGAAAAAAGAGTGGTTATCAACTACCTACCTACCTATCAAGGTTCTCAAAATTCAAGGATCCCCATCTCCCTCTCGAGCACGACTTCACACTTTAAAAAGACTTTCCAAAACATACTTTCTTCTTAATCCACTCATACAGATACACCATCACAACCTTTTCGGTCATATCATATCAATCACCTCTTCCTCTTTCTTCGTCTCTTGAAGTGTCGATCTTGGATCTTCATTCTCTTATACTTCATACACTTGGTAGACTACATATCAACTGTTTGATAGTCGATCTACCTTTGTTTCTTCAAACAATCATTGTCAACGTCGGAAGACTGTGATACGACAATTCCCCGAACTATCCATCTTCAAACCAAATCATCACACTCAAGTCTTCAAGATGACTGACTTCAACCCCAATATGGTCGATCTAGACACAGCTGATCCAAAAGATATCATCTGTTATCTCGGTCTTGGTGAAAATGAGTACAATGGAAAATTGGGAGCGTAAGTTCTGTCTTTACTTTCTATCATTTCTTGTTTCCTGTTTCTTGTTTCTTCCTTCTTATCATCCTTCGTCCTTTACCCTCTATCCTTCTATCCTTCTATCCTTTTAAAATCAACTACTAATCAATCTTCATAGTCGTGTCTCTGCTCTCTTTGTTATCTTGATCGTCTCCTCGGCTGCTACCTTCTTTCCCGTCATTGCTGCAAGAGTCAGCTGGGTTAAGATCAATATCTATGTCTACCTCTTCGCTCGTTACTTTGGTGCTGGTGTTATCATCGCAACTGCTTTCATCCAGTAAGTTCTTTTTATTCTTCTAAACAAGTCTTCTCTTCACACAATGAAATCTAACATTTTTCAGTTTACTTGATCCCGCCTATGGAGAAATTGGTTCCGACACGTGTGTTGGAATGACTGGTGGCTGGGCCGAATATTCTTGGGTACCTGCTATTGTTTTACTTTCAGTCTTGTCCATCTTCATGATGGACTTTGCTGCTGAACAATATGTTGATCGCAAGTATGGCTTCGGACATGGTCCATCTATCGAAGATGTTGTCACCAATCAACCAGGCACTAACACCACTCGTCGCGCAACCCTTACACACAATCAACTTCATTCTGGTGATCAAGATCCAACCCTCTTCGACAACATCGCCCAAGCTCAAGAATTGAAGGATCACAGCCCTGCATCCAACTCTTTCTCCAATGAAAAGGATGTTGAGAAGATTACAACTTCCTCTGAGATGGCAGAAGAACGTTCTTTCCGTCAACAAATCTGTGCTTTCTTGATTCTCGAATTTGGCGTCATCTTTCACTCTGTTATCATCGGTCTCAATCTTGGTACTGCTGGTGATGAATTCGCAACTCTCTACCCTGTCCTGGTCTTCCATCAATCCTTTGAGGGTCTTGGTATCGGCGCTCGTATGTCTGCCATTCCTTTCCCCAAGCGTTTCTCTTGGCTTCCATGGGTTCTCTGCGCAGGTTATGGTCTCACCACACCCATCGCTATTGCCATCGGTCTTGGTCTTCGCAGAACTTATAACTCTGGTTCATTCACTGCCAATGTTGTCTCTGGTGTTCTCGATTCCATCTCTGCTGGTATCCTCATCTACACTGGTTTAGTTGAGTTATTGGCTCGTGATTTCTTGTTTAACCCAGACTTGACTCATGATAAGAAGAGACTTACATTCATGATCTGTTGTGTTTTACTCGGAACATTTATCATGGCTCTTCTTGGTAAATGGGCTTAACTTCATCTTCTGGATTTGTTGAGCATTTTCTCTGGTGGACGTTGGTTGGTTTCTTATATCGGCGGATGGTTTTCTAATTGATAGATGGTTTTCATATACCCAAGAAGATTTTACTTTCTTATGCGAGAAAATGAAGTTACACATGTGTAACTTGTATTTAGGAGGGATGGAATTACTGATTTGATGAATGAATGGAAATAAAAGTGAGATTGCATATTTCTACTTTTTCTTTTCAACACAGCATAGGATTTTTACCTTACCTTTCTTTACCTTAGTTTACTGAATGGTTTGATGATGATCATATGAGTTATGACTCATGAAATGTAGTTGAATCCAGGATGAAAGTAATTTAGTAGATTAATAGAGCTGATATTTGCTTGATTTGATTGAGTTATGTATGTCTTTGACTGTCATGTTGTTAATGTGAACTTGAATGTGGTGTGAAGAGTTTTGACTGATATATGTACTCGTATTGAAAATGCCATGGATATGAATACAGTGACTATGAAGATAGATTTATATGGATGTGCTGCGGCTTGTAACTTGAATGTACTATATAATGCTCGGTTGTCGACGGTTATAGTGATAGTAATGAGATGGCATTTAGTACTGGTGCATGTATGTATGTATATATGTATGTATATTATAGTGCAGTATAGTATAGTACAGCCAGTTAATCTAAATGAAGAAATTCTTTGGGGGGGGGGGGGGCGTGGTTAGATGGGATTGCGAAATTGGGAGATTAGGGGGGTGGGTTGTGAGGGTGTGAGAGTGTGAGAGTGTATATGTAGGTATATTATATTATCACAGAGGGAAACATAATTGTGAGGATTTCTCTTCTCTTCTCTTCTTTTCTTTTCTTTTTGGAGCACGGGATGAATGGATTGGATTGGATTGGATTGGATTGGATGGTTTCAGGATGGATGGTTTGAGGATATTGTATAGGTGTATGGATTTGAATAGGTATATAGATGTAGATATGGAAATGTGTGAATATATAGCTGTATAGTTGTATAGTTGTATAGTTGTATAGTTGTATAGTTGTATAGTTGTATAGTTGTATAGTTGTATAGTTGTATAGTTGTATAGTTGTATAGTTGTATAGTTGTATAGTTGTATAGTTGTATAGTTGTATAGTTGTATAGTTGTATAGTTGTATAGTTGTATAGTTGTATAGTTGTATAGTTGTATAGTTGTATAGTTGTGTAGCTGTGTAGCTGTATAGCTATGTATTTAGAACTTGTTATTTATTTATTTTCTTCTTCTTCTTCTTCCTCCTCCTCATTACTCATTATATCCTCCCCTTCCTAGCCGAATATTATAACTATACTCCTATTCACAATTTCTCTCTCCTTTCCCTTTCCGTATCATATCAATTCCACACTACACTCACATAGATACTATATAATATATTCTCTCTCTTTTTAAATTCAATTATTCACCTCTCAATCTGTTCCCTTTTTTCTTTTTCTCTTCGTATCTATCTTTTTCATTCCTTTCCTCCCTCAAATACTCTTTTTAATAAACTCACTCGCTAAATTCTTAATATTATTATTCATATCTATCTACGAGTATCTACCTAGTTATATTTACCAACAAATAAATAAGAAATAAGAAATAAGAAATAAGCGAGATTTATCTCCCTATCTAGATATATATCTTTTCTTTCTTTTCTATTTTCTTTTCTACTATTCCTCATACCTTAGTAAGTTATTCTTTACTTAAATATCTACCTAACTAAATACATCTTTCCTATATTTCGAATTTATACTTATTCTTTAGAGTTACTCTATATCTCTACTATTTAATTACTTTTACTCTTACTCTCTTTATTTCTATATATCTTTTTTATTTTCTATTATATTATTATTAAGATTTAGAGATTTATATTCGAAGATCTCTTCTATACTATTATATTATATTATACTTTTATTTTATATTATATCTTGTAATTTATTAGTATTTTAATAGTTGGGGAATTTGGAGTTAGTTGAGTTGTATGTATATATATATAGGTGGTAGTTGACTAGCTATTTATTTATATTGAAGTTGTTATAAGCTTAGTTTAGTTCATTCTATTTCATTCTATTTCATTCTATTTCATTCTATTTCATTCTATTTCAGGGATGCGAAGACTCAACACCTGTACGCAATGCATCCTATAAACCTTCAGCTCTTTTTTGAGAGTCTGTAGAGCTAAGATTGAGTCGCAAATAAAATTGAAAGAATTAAAAAAAAAAGATATCAAAGATATAACAAAGGATTATATTACGATTTTATAACAATAATATTTACAAAGAATTGAATATTAGCTTTAAACACAGATATAAAGATTATAAAAACTCTAATCAGATTCAATATCTACTATTAATTATTATTTTACAGAAATAAAATATATAATAGATCTCTTCTCTTTAGAAAAATCTTTTCAACATAAAGCTTACTATTACTCTACTCATACTACAATCCCTTTTTTTATACCCTTTAGCTTTTAGTTATTCGAATACTACAACAATACAATATAGAGAATACTATCATCTTCAAATTAATATTATACTCTAGACATCAATATAATACAACATTTTTCCTTTTAATTTTCGAATTTTCGAATTTTCCAAATTGATTTGTATATAAACTTAGAACTCAGCTCTGCCCTATTATTATCAATAGTTTTGATTATATATATCTAATAAAAGCTAAAGGATATCAAGCTTATAAAAATATATAAAGAGCTAATTTAAAAGTAAGAAAAATAGAAAAAAGTAATACCTTTTATTGCTATCTCATTAGTAAAGGACTCTTTACTATATTGAAGGCAATTCGAAAGGGATAACTCTTGTTTTTATAAAAAAGGAAAAATAGCAATTGGATTTAGGATTTTAAAAAAAGAGAAATTGAATATTGGAATATTTTAATTGAATTAGAGGAAGGGAAGAGTTAGGAAGAAAAGTGTTTTAAAAAATGAAGATAATTATCTCTATTTGCATTTCGAATAGAGATTGGGTTTAATTTCTCAGTATTTGTTTTTACTCTCTCAAATTGAATATATTTATTGTAGATATCCAATAGTATTTACTAGGCCTCTATAACCTAGCCGTTCTAAATAGTCATAGACTGAAAAAGGACGTTAATAAAATCAATCAATCAATCAATCAATCATTCTATTTCATTCTATTTCATTCTATTTCATTCTATTTCATTCTATTTCATTCTATTTCATTCTATTTCATTCAATACTATCCTACTCTCTTCTATCTCTCAAAATAATCTATAATATATTATCTTTCTCTTTCTTATCTCCTAGCTCTATCTCTATCTCTTATTCATTCTATAACTTTCTTTTTTCTTTCTACCTTTCTACCTCATCTCTTTTCTATCACCTCCCTTTCTCCCTCCCCTTTTCTTTTACTTCCTTATATCAATCTATTTTCTCTAGATCTATCTTCTTTTCTTTCTTTTCAATTTATATAACTATAAATATCAATACCACAAAAATAA